ACCTGCAGAGCCACACAGGCAGCTACTGAGTCTGTCTGGAAACTCGTGCTTTATTGTCACCTTGTTACTGTCATGGACAGGAGCTTTTCCTGTGCGATGAGCATTGGAGCATTGGGCTGTGGTAACTCTTCCACTGTTCATTTGTCACCATTGAGACAAGTGGCCTCTGACTCCTACTATTTGTATTAACGCCTCATATTGGATACTAGATTCATCTCACCAAGGACAACTTAAAATTCTAATGATCACTTTAAAATTCTGGACATAATAAAATTGTTCATTCAGAGACACAGAAGGGACAAGTCCACATGGGGATATTTTCTTTCCTATCTAAAAACTAATACTATGTAAAGGTGAGATCATCTTATTTTGACCAACTGCAATAAATCTCACTTGTGTGTATGTGTGTGTGTCCAAGTGTGTTTGTGTGAGTGTGTACGTGATTGGGAAAATGGGTTCTTTTCTAATCTTCCTCCCACCCCTGTAGAGGGAAAATAACTGCATTTACCAATGATAATTTGATATTTCTCTGAAGCCAGCTCCCACTTGCTTCTCCTGTTACTTTCTGGTTTTCTTCTCCCACTCTCCCCCTTCTCTAGGGAAATTGTGAGGACTTATTGATAAAATTTTTATTTTCTGTCATAACGTGTCTACCTTAAGAATATCTAGTTCAGACAAACAGCTGACGTTTGAAAAATGATCTAAAAGATTATTAAACTATAATTTTTTTTTTTTGCTCAAAACACAGGCCATATGAAAAAACAAACAAACCAATAAGCACAGCAAACGCGGCTGAGAAATGCAACCTAGTTCCTGCCTTGCTTGCTACTTTCCAGATCTCTGGTTGGAACAAAGAGTGAGGAACTCATAAACCTATTTTTAGTAGTCTCTCTAAGTTTATGAATTTAAATTTTCATGAATTTTATTATAAAATTATGCAGCTTTATGTAATGGACCTAAACATACAGAAATTATTGGACAAATGAGAATGATCAAATGGAAAAGGCTCAGAGAATACTGTTTTTTTCCCCACAATTTATTAGATAAAATTAATGCCAATATAAAATTCCAGTTTGTTCAATACCAGAGGTGAGATTTTCATGCTTTCAACTGTCTAAATTGCCTATGTTGGTTCTGAGATGGTAATTAGTGAGTAGTTGTTTCACAAGTATTTCAGATGCTGCGTATGGCAACACTGGGAAACCCCAAGCCTACCCTTCCATTTGACCCCAGCATCACGTTTGAGTCCCCAAGGCCAGCCTCAGTAAACTCAGAAAACACAGAGTCACCGATTTTACAAAACCAAAACCGACAACAGATTACAATCAACCAAGGGAGTAGGACCACAGGGTGAGCCCAGGAGGCACCAGACAGGAGTGTCCAATTGTGCTTTGCCAATGAGTCACATGGATTGTGCTTTTTCCTCCTAGAATTCTGTGAGGCCATACATGTGGAATATTACCCACCGGGAAGTTCACCAAAGCTTCAGCCTGCACAGCTTCTCCCAGGGTCAAGTGGATATTGTTAACCACCAGTGGAGCTGAACTGGGTCTCCAGCCCTTACAAAGTTTGGACTGATACCATGTGGACAAAGTCTCCACCAAAAGTCACAGTGTTAGGATTCACTCTGTCCCAGCTTCAGCTTCCCAAAGAAACAAAGGCACTTTTATTAGAAGGACTCTTGCTCCTCTACTGGAGCAAGCATTATGCTTTACTGAACAAATAGACAAAATTTTCTCTAAATAAAATTTTAATATTGGACCACTAACATTAGCTTAAAGTCAATTTATTCTTAAAATTTTTGAATGTGCAAATACTTTGGGGTGATTTTACATTTCTATTAATTTTATCACATATATTTAAGTTGTACAACATGATATTAAAAGATATATTTAGTAACAGGGTTACTAAGGTGGAAAAAATTAGCATATCCATTATCTCTCAGTGTTATCTATCCATTTCCCTCCTGTGCCAAGAGACGTCATAATATTCTTGTTTAGCAAAACTCCTGAATATGGTAATGTACTATTTATTATTCACCCCAGTCCTGTTGTGCATTAGACATTTTGAATGGTTCATCCTCTGTACTTATACCATGTATCCTTATCTGTAATGCAATGTGACTTAGCCTTTAAGAGGAGGAACTCCTGCCACTTGCCACAGTAAGGATGAACTTGAAGGACTACGTATGATAAGTGAAATAATCCAGACACTCAAAGAAAAGTATTACATGACCTCCCTTATATGGGCAATCCCCCCACACCAAAAAGAAGTCAGGTATATGTGAATAGAAAATAAAATTGGTTATCAGTATCAGGATGATGTAATATTTACACACAAACCTAAAAACATGTATGTACACATTAAAATACATATGTGTATATGTATACATGCATGGATATGTACAATATATAAATAACATATATATAATTTTTATATGCAGTGTAATACACATTTTATATGCTTCAGTTTAAGATAAGAATTTTGGTATAAAATATGCATAATATGTTTAATGTGCTCAAAAAGCTAATTATATTTAAAGTTAAAATAACTGTTTATGATTTATTACATAATTACATATTATTTAATCTCAATGTTGTTTACTAAGATTACAAAATATGTTACAAACCATAAATATTTTTATAATGTAAGAAATTTAAAAGTCTAAAAAATATAAAAAAAGAAAACTATTAAAATTCTGGGCCAATGTTAATAAATTTGTTACTTTTAAAAATGAATGCAAATATTTTACTTTAAAATATTACTGTAAAATACAAAGATCAAATAAAAGTTTTGTGTATGAAGTTACCAAGTTATCATATTCTGTAGCAAAATATTTCTCATATTTTACGAAGTTCATGTTCTGAATAATTCTGTTTTAGTTTTCCCATAATTTTCCTTAAAATTAAAACAATTATAACATATTTATGGCTGTGCTGCTCAGCTAATTCCTCTTGATTTTGTTTTCCAAAACCAGAGGTAGATTTTCTCTTCGCACATGTTCATATGCACGTCAGAGTCTGTAGGATATTCTATTGGAGGTTATCTGCAAGGTACAAAGATTTCCCACTAGCCATAAGATTGTTCAAGAAAGAAACAGAATGTTTTAAGTGCACAAAATACAAGTTCAATGAAGACCCAGACTTAAGATTCCAGGTCAGCAAAGGGGAGAGGGGGCTACCCAGGTGTGACAACTGTAGTACACTATGCAGACGTCCCTTCAGAACCGGGACCCTCATTTCCCCTGCAGCAAGGAGCATCAGGTCTGAGCTCCCCTTGTCAAAGGATCTTGCCCACCAGAAGCAGCCTCTGCCAAGGATCCCATCTTTCTGAGCTCACCGGCATCCAACTGGGGAGTGCAGATGGCAGAGGCGTTACACTCAGACCCATATTTTCTAATTGTTTTATGTTCTATGTTGCTGATCTTGACTGCTATCTATGAGTTCATAAGCATGTCTGAAGGCCAGGCTTTATAGATTCCAAATAGATATGCCCTAGTACTGATGGTCTTTTGGAAGACTTCAACTCAGACACCTGTTTCAAGGTACATCTCTGACCATTCTCCCACTCATGTCAATAAATATTGGGCTAAGAAAAAATAAATACACAAGTAATCCTGAACTATTATGGGATTTTAAGCAACTAGTTCTTTAGGAATATGCTGCAACATTGCCAATACCATAAAAATATCCATGTACCTAACTGGTCTTATACTTAATTCAGTGTCAATACTTCTTGTGATTGTGAGATACCACATAGCCTTTGTAATCAATAAAAATGTAAACTGATCATATGGACAGCATCGTTGACCACAGTGAGGCCCTTGATCATGCAGCAGAAGAGTCAAAGTTTTAAAAAGTTATGTCGTCAGGACTTGTCTCAAGTTTGAATCTTTACAGGAAAAAAAAATTTAACTGAAACTATACTTTGAAATCACTAAGATAAATGACCCAATTTCTTTCCTCAAATCAAATTAGGCAAATTTACAGCACCTGTCATGTGTTTATGTTTCTGCATCTCATACTGTGAAAACACAGAGGTAGTGAAGGGGGTACAGTTGAGTGGAATGGGCCAACTTTAAAAGCAGGAGCTTGGAAAAATAAAAGATGCATCAATTTCAACAGGCAAACAAAAATAACTCAGGAAAAACACAAAATGATTTCTTTATGATGACAACTTGCTTTTAGTGTTTGAATAAGTGAGGAGTAAGATTCAAGTTCATGAAAATAAGGCATCTTGATGTGAAACCAGAAAAATTAACATAAATTATAAAGAACAAATATGTCAGGATGGAAAGGAATGAATGTCAATTTTTAAGGAAAGAAGAAGAGTGATGAAATTGAAGCAACTGAGGGCACAGTTAATATTTTCTATTGGTCCTAGGCAGTAGAACTAGGGCATAACAGAAAAAAGTAGGAATTGAGTCTGGTTTAACTGTCACGTTAGCGTGACTCTGTGGCCTATTTTTTCCAACATTCACTCTGTAGGAGTAATAAGCAATCCCAAGAAACAATGTTTTCTTGCAGTATTAAGGCCATGTTGATGGTCAAGTCCCTTAGTGAAAGCTCATTCTTTTTAAGGTTTCAATAGGACTCAATCTAATTGAGTAATACCAAGGATAGAAATAAAATTCACAGAGTTTAGATTGTCTGTTGCTTATCCAAACCGCTTGTGCAGTATGAAATACATACCACCGGGTATTATTAAATCATACTGAATATGAATATGAGTAGGGAATGCCAAGTACATTGACCCATGAGACTTATTTCACTCATGTTTTATAGCTTTGATAATGACAAATTCAACATGCATGCACACATACACGCAAACAGTTAAGGTATGTCTAATATACTTGTAATGAAAAAATAAATTGATGCAACTTCTCTCAAAAGCTAGTAAAATATATATGTATACACAATTTCTAGGAATTCCACCTAGAAATTTGCCCCTTGGGTGACGATGTCATGCATATGAACAATTATTTGTATAAGAATACTCAAGTACGTTTGTCAGCCCACATAGTAAAATTGAAATGATTCAGAGAAGATTAGCATGGCCCCTAGCAAGGATGATATGTAAATTCACACAGCTTTCCATATTTTTACAGATAGAGGATGGTAAAGGTATGGAGGGGCAATCAGGATGAAAGACTCATAACGTTTAGAGAACAGTGGTATAACCACAATTGACAACAATTAATTGTATATTTTAAGCTTTGTAACAGAGAGACATTTGAATACACCCAACACAAAAAAAAATGATAAATATTTGAGGAGATGAAACTGTGTCAATTCAAATATCATACTGCATCTCAAAAATATTTAGAATTATTATGTCATTAAAATGTAAAAAAATATGATAAAAAGAAAAAACGGGCCATATTATTACCTAAGTATTGATTCAGAAAATGACCATCTATCCTTTCCAATAAAATACAAAACTCATATCTTAAGTATAACCTGCTGCACATGTCTATTATTTCGGAGGTATAATGTGTCCAGATTATTTTTTAAGTTGAAGTACAAACAAGAAAATTTCAAATTTATGTACTAGTGAGTTCACTGCTTTACCAGTGTACAATTAGCATGCAGCAAGCTACGTTTAAAGAGTTTTGATAGGTGCACACAGACATGAATTCACCAGCACCCTCCATCATGGTAATGAAGGTGCTGAGGACTCCCGCAGCTTTCTCCTGAACTCCATGCATTGCCTCCACCTCACCTTCACACCCCACAAACACTCCTAGGCTGCCATTGACTTACTTCCTGTCACCATGGACTCATTTGCATTTTTTAAAAATTTGTGAAAATGGAGTAAAACATAGAAATTTTGTATTTCACTCAGTGTGATTTTTATATCCATCTGTATTATGGGGTTTGTCAACTGTTTGTTTCACTTCATTGCTGAAGAGCATTCACTATGTGGCTATCACAGAGGACTGTCAATTTACCCATCCACAGACATCTGGTCATCTCTTCCTCTTTTACATTACATACAAAGCCTATGTAAGCATCTGTGTGCTTGTAGAAATGTCTTTTGATTCCTCTTAGGCAAACATATAGAAATGGAATATCTGGATAATGTTAAAGGAATACCCTTAATATCTTACACCACTGTTCTCCAAGGTGGTTTTCACACTTCACATTTCCACCAGCTAGGCAGGGGAACTCCAGTTTCTCCAGATCCTCACCAATACTTGCTCTTATCAATTATGTCTTTAATCTCAGCTGTCCTAATATGTGTATGGCTGCATCTGATCTGGCTTCACTCTGCATTTCCCTGGTGGCTCATGACACCGAGCAGGCTGTTTGCCCAATTGCCTGATTCACATCTTCTCTGTTGAAGTCTACATTCAAGCCTTGTGCCTGGATGTGCATTGAGTCCTTTGTGTTCTTGTTTTGAGTTTTGATAGATTTTATGTATTCAATGCACAAGTCATACATAGTGCATACAATTAGTAAATATATTCTTAGACTTTTCCTTGTCACAACAATCTCTTACAGTATCTATCTGTTGGAAAACACATATTTCAAGTTTTAATGAAATCCTACTTAAGAAGTTTTCTTTTTTGAATCAAATTTTGTTAACTTCTTTGATAACTTCTGTGTCTGTCCTGTATCTCGCTTCTCTGATAAGAACATCAGCCTCTCTCATAAGAACCATGGCCATCTTAACTTTTAAAAACATTTTAATATCTAAGTCAAACCCATTCTTCTACAGGGATTTTCATCAGTATTCCAATATGTTTGTTTTCAAATGTGATTATTTTAATAAAGTGTCCTCAAAACTATTTCATTTATATCATATCATCATTATATTCACAATTTTAGAAATTATTGTCTTCCAATTCAACCAATTCATACTTAGTTGCTACCTATATAAGGCCAATTGAAATTGTAAAAAATATATTGGCATGTTAGAAATGTCACACGCACAAAAAGCCATTGTAGTTGCTTCCTGGAGTTTGGTTTGAAGTAAGTACCAATGACTAATGGGAAAACATTGGTTACAATGGATATTGACATTTGGTAGAGAAATGGAAACCTGTGTTTATTATGATACCCCGTGATCCTGCAATCCCGGCCAGCACTAACTCAGAGATGGGTATTACAGTCACTGACCAAGGTGTGTTGTGAGTAGCAAGGTCTTAACAAATATGTGTTGTATTATTAAAGAAGTATCCTCATAGTGGGATGGGGAGAGAGAGCATGGGAGGAATAGATGAACTCTAGATAGGGCAGAGGGGTGGGAGGGTAAGGGAGGGGGCATGGGATAGTTAATGATGGTTGAATGTGATGATCATTATTATCCAAAGTACATGTATGAAGACATGAATTCTTTTGAATAAACTATGTATACAACCAGAGAGATGAAAAATTTTGCTCTATATATGTAATAAGAATGGTAATGCATTTTTGTTGTTATATATTTAAAAAAAATGGAAGTCAAAAAAAAAGATGAAGAAGTATCCTAACAAAACAAGGATATCCATTCTCACCTCCCCTATTTATTATGGTGCTAGAAATTCTAGTCAGAGCAATTAGGAGAAGAATGTATAAATATAGAAAAGGAAGAAGATAAAGTATCACTGTTTGCAGATGATATTATCCTCTATTTAGAAGATCCAGAAAATACCACCAAAAGATTCCTAGAGCTAACAAATTTGGCAAAGTAGCAGTTTAGGAAATCAAATCCAAAAATTGATAGCTTTTCTAGATGTCAACAGTGAACTTGCTGAGAAAGAAATCAAGAAAACAATCTCATTCACAATAGTCTCAAAAATATTAAAATATCTAAGAATAAATCTAACTAAGGCAGAGAAAGATTTCTGCAATGAAAATTATAGAAGACTAAAGAATGAAATTGAAGAAAAAACAAGATGGAAAGAGCTCCTGTGTTCATGGGCAGGCAGAATCAACATTGTATTGTCAAATGGCCATATTACCAAAAGCAATACACAGATTCAATGCAATCCATGCCAAAATACCAATGGTATTCAAAAACAAACAAACAAACAAACAAACAAAAACTAGGAAAAAAAACATCCTGAGGTTCATTTGGAAGAATGAAAGACCCACATGCCCAAAGAAACTCTGAGCCAAAGAATCAAGGCTAGAGGCATCATGAGACCAGAGGTATAGTAACAAATACTGCATGGCACTGCTTAAAAACAGACACACAGACCAGTGCAAAAGACACAGAGACAAACTCACACGTCTGTAGTCATTAAGGGTGCCAAAGTCACACACTGGAGAACAGACAGCCTTTTGACAAATGGTGCTCTGTGATGAGTTCTCCCTCAGATGTAGAGTGTAACCTTAGAGAAACACGCAGAGGCAAGTATATAAAGCAGGGTTTCTTTAAAAAGGGGAAACATAGACTTCTCCCAGGAGGGAGAAGGGGACATAGCTGGTACCCTGGTGTTCCCAGAAGCGAGGGTGTTCTGCCTTTTTATATGTCCTAGGCTTTCTTTGTTCTCCTGCCCTCTTCCCCTTATCTCTCTCCTTCCTGGGCATGTGACTATGCTCAGGAAATGCTGGGTGGGATGGCCAAAAGGAAACAGGTGGGCTGAAAGGGGAATGGGTTGGATGGAGCAGTGCAGGACAACCTTGTGGCTCCCTGTAGGGAGGGACAATTCCTGGGATAGGTTACCTTAGCAACAGGTTAGAGCAGGGGTGGTACTTGATGGGGTGGAGGAAGGGCTCTGAAGGGATTGACATTTCAATCTCTCAGGGGGCAGTCTCCACCTTCCCAGACTCAGTCAAATTGGCCTCCTTGATCTGACCTGACTCGGTTTACCTAACTATACACACTGCCTGCCTACTTCTGGCTTCACTGGTACAACTGGTTACCAGATGTAGAAGAATGAAATTAGACGCTTTTCTCTCACCCTGCACACACACACACACAAAAAAATGACATCTCAAAATAGACCTAAGACCTAGAAATTAAATCAGAAACTATGCAACTCCTGGAAGAAAATGGAGGGACAACTCTCCAGCTTTTAGGCACAGGCAATGACTTTCTCAATACGTCCCTAAAGCTCAAGAAATAATGCTAAGATTTAATAATGAGATGACATCAAATTAAAAAGCTTCTGCACAGCAAAGGAAACAGTCAGAAATGCAGAAAGAGAACCTACACAATGGGTAAAAATATTTGCTATCTATTCTTCAGACAGAGGATTAATATCTAGAATATATAAAGAGCTCAAAAAACTTAACACCAATTAAATAACCCACTTAATAAATAGGCAATTGGTATGTCTCAAAAGAAGAAATACAAATGGCCAAGAAATACATCATTAGCATTTGGGAAACACAAATCAAAGCTACCAGAATAGCAGTCATCAAGAATCCAACTAACAATGAGTTCTGGAGAGGATGTGGAGAAAAAGGAACACTGCGAGTGGGATTGTAAATTAGTCAACCACTATGGAAATCAACATGGAGGCTCCTCAAAATACTAGGGATGAAAGCTCCATATGACCCAGTTATATCACTTCTCGGTGTTTATCCTGAAGAATTAAAGTCATCTGACTACAGTGACACATGCGAACCTGCATTTATAGCAACACAATTCCTAACCGCCAAAGTATGGAACCCAGCCTAGGTGTCCATCAACAGATGAATAGATAAAGAAAATATGGTATACATACACAATGGAGTTTTCTGCAGCCATAAAGAAAAATGAACTTCTATCACTTAAAGGACAATGGATGGAACTAGAGACCATTAAACAAAATAAGTCAAACTCAGAAGGTCACGGGTCATATGCCTTCTGTCACCTGTGGAAGTTAGAGAGGAAAGGGAAAAGAAGGTGGGGGTGGATCTACTAAAAATCAAAGGGCATCAGTAGAAGAAAGACCAAAGAGTGGGAGGTGGGGAGGGAGGGAGGAAGGGAATGAAATTGGCCAAATCCTGTTGTATGCTGTGTGCCTGTGTGAAGAAGTCCCACACCTTCCATATGTGGGGCAAAAAAGAATCATTGTAACATGGAAGAGAAAAAACAGTATCTGTCTATAACATTAACAAAAGACAGAAAAGACAAAGAGTACAGTGAGATGCCCAGTAAGTTTTTATATCAGGCAAGTCAGAGGATTG